TTCAAGTGAAAATGAAAAGCTGGACAGGCCCGGCCCTAGAATGTGAGGAGCCAAAGGCAGCAAGCGATGAGCGCGGGGACTCGAGCAAAACTATTTCATTGCAGAGAAGTGCGGGGCCCAAGGCGGTTGCCTCGTTTGTCTTTAACTACGGCTGGGCCTGAAGCAGAACAGAGTTGTAAGCATCTAATTTGATAGTGAAAAAAAAAAAAAACCTAATTAAATTCTAGAAACAACAATTTCTCTTATTTACGATTATTTTTTCCTGAGTCAACACTCACTGTCACAAGTGAACAAAGTAACGGATATGTGACGCAAACGACAGTTATTTGCTGAAATAGACTATTTACAGCAACCAGCTGAGGACAGTAAGCTTGTCAACCTGATTAAAATCAGATCTCCACTGTCCTTGGTGGATTGCTGTTTTATATTGAAGGCTTCCGTTTAGTTTTTGAAACGCAAGTAAGTTGACAATGTTTGGGACCCCAAGACGACAATCAGGTTAGAAATTATAAATTGATGAATGAAGTGACTTAAAGTTTGGTGCGTGGTTTTTTTTTTTTTTTTTTTATCCTTGTTGCTTTTTATTTTCAAAATCGGAGGGGAAGTAAACCTGAGATGCGCATACTGTAATAAAAAAAAATATTTCATCTTTAAAAAGAGAGAGCACCAACATTATCGTTACATTTTCATTTTATTTATCGTAAATAATACGATGATTGTAAACAATGATTGCAAACTATATACATATGATAGTGTGTTGATTTTACAGTCAAAGTATCGTATTTTATTATAGAATTTTAATTTAATATTCTTAGTATATAATACAATATTCAGTAAAAAAAAAAATTAATTCTACATATATCTAAGAAAAGCGTTACCAGGCTCAGACCAGTATTTATTGACGAGGAATCCAACAAATGAACTAACATACTCAGACCATTGTGTGTGTTTATATATATATATATATATATATATATATATATATATATATATATATATATATATATATATATATATATATATATATATATATATATATATATATATGCAATAAACTGACGACGAACAGTACTTGTTTGGACCATGTATGTTTAGTTTTTCTTTAGTCACTGTGCTAGTGAATGTCTTGGTCTCTATCATATGTTGACAGGTTTTGCATCTTTTATCGCCACAGGGTCCAGATTGACTAGGTTGGTTTTGACTAGCGATTGTTGTTAGCTTGGCCCTGACTAGGATGTCCTTTAGTACGTGGGAGAAACTGAAAAGCTACACATAAGGATAACCCTTCATAGATCTGATTGGATGACAAAAAAGCTGTACAGAAGTCCGGTCGCAGAACACTTCTCCTCCCCTGGCCACACTTTCAGTGATATAATACTTATCGCTATTGCTAACAACCACAGCTGGAGTTCCGAAACCAGGAAGGAAAAGGAATCATACTGGATACGCCGCCTTAGAACATTGAAACCAAGCGGTCTAGACCAAGAAGACTAGAAAATGAAAACTATGCACTAGTAGAATTTAACATTTTCTAAATCTTCTTATTATCCTTCAATTTTTACTATAAGAATAACCGGTATAGAATCAAATATCCGGGATATAATCTGCGTTGCATATGTACACAAAGTAAAAATATATGTCGCTTTGGCTTGTAGACTTTTAGGGAATTATACAACGTTTTCAGTTTCCGCAACTAGTCTATACAAGCTGGTTGTATTTATAGTTTTAGCACATGTGAAGATAGAACTGTAGAGGTTTACAAACACAACGTTTTTGTGTTTATTTGTTTGTCGTAACTATGTTTTGTATTTGCCTTTGAAAAAGACTCATTAAGAGTCGAAAGCGCTTAGGCTAGTTAGTTACTAGTTTCGTACTGTTCGTCGTCAGTTTATTGCATCTATTTTAATTAATCCCTGACAAACGTGATCCCTTGGTGGATCCAGTACGCTTGAAAGGGTTGTTATTCGCCATATGATTTGTATTCTTTATATATATATATATATATATATATATATATATATATATATATATATATATATATATATATATATATATATATATATATATATATATATATATATATATATATATATATATCATACGCGAAACATTTTTCAAAAATTGATCTGTCAAATGGGTATTGACAAATTCTAGTCTGAAGTGAAGTCAGATGAAGACTTAGCATTGCAACTCCAGATGGGATATACCAATGGGTTGTTGTGCCAATCGGAGTCCAGAATGTGTCAAGAGTCTTGACTCGAATGATGAGGAAATTACTCGAACCGTTAAAAGGGAATGGAGTTTCGACAGATTTTTTTTTTTTTAGACGATCATAAAATTTTGCTGAGAAAAGTTCTGAATTGACTTAAGCAAACAAGACTTCTCTCACGAACCATGTAAATACCATGTTGGGTTTATGAAACTAACTTACTTAGGACACACCTTCAGCGAAGACAAGTCAGCCCCAGGTAGCTCTAAAGTTCAGGAACTTGGGGAAGCAATACAAGCGACCACTACGACGAAGTTCAGTCTTTCTTGGGACAGAAACGTATTATCTTTGTTGTGTTGCTACTTCTGTGCTATTGCTAGGCCACTGCATGATGTTGTTGTTGCTGTGGGGCTTAACGTCATTTTTTAGCACACGATAGGCTATACATGGCGGCCAGTATTAATAGAGGAGGAAGAAACCGGGAAATCCGCGGAAAGAACCACTGACCCATGAGAGCTACTGGCAAGCTTTCTTACATATCCACATTCCCCGAATCTTAGACTCGAAACCACGTAGACAGAGGTGAGATGGCAGTGATTCGTAACGGAGAGCGCATTAGACCTTTCGGCCACTCCTGGCCCCGCCACTGCATGACTTGACTAGGAAGACTCCGACGAAAGTCCTACGTACTGATGCTTCTGGGCCAGTGCTGTTGCAAGGTTTTATGGAAATTTATTTGCGGTTGCATATTATAGTAGATTTGTCGACTGTTGAACGAAATTATTCTGTCTCTGAGAAAAAGTGCTTGGTAGTTATTTTGAGGATATCAAAATTCCAAGGTTGCTTACATGGACGAAAATTTACTTTGGAAATTGACCACCAGCCACTCGCCTACGTTGACAAATGGAAGCCTAATAAGATAGTCAATATTTCTTTAGCGGTACCAGGTCTAGGTACGGTATATTAAGGGTATTGAGAATGTAGAGGTTGATTCTTCAAGTAGACTGAGGGATTATGAGGTGAAGGGTTCAGCTGAAGACGTTTAGATGGTAACTGGGTTGGATCTTCAAAATTCAGCGAGCAAAATTCCGGATTTTAGTTTAGTCTTCAGTCTTTAAAATGCCATGAAAGGGGGCGTGTTGATTCAGTTATAGATACTAAATAGCCTGCTTGGAAGAGACATTAATTTTCTGTACTAGGTGTTTTTGTATCAGTTGTCAAGCTGGGAACTGACCAATATTAGCCTTAGTTTCTGTTGATTTGCTATATGACGTCATCTGACGTAACGAGAGAGGGGATAATGTTCGATCTCAGAAGTAAAATCCTGACAAATATGTAGGTTGTATATTTAGTTTTTTTTTTAACTGGAAAATTGCTCCATATATACATCCATATAAAGAGAGGAGACAACCAAATTACTGTTGATGACCCGAAAGAGGATGAAAGTAGAGAGGATGAAAAAGAATATGACGACTCTCATGTCTCACCAACGTTGGACATAGAGTGACCCGCAAGCCGCCAGGTTATGGAATCCTGATGGACAATTGAGATTGATCACTCGATTTAATGATGAAATTTGTCTTATGAATTTAAGCAGAACGGCTAATTGCATTCTTTTATATATATATATATATATATATATATATATATATATATATATATATATATATATATATATATATATATATATATATATAAATAGTATTTGTTTCAAAGACAAATGTATCCTTCAAACTTCATGTTTACTATATTTATGTTTATTTAATTTATCAAACTTTTATTTTACAAAGGGAGGTGGGGTGGGCTCGTGCTATTCTGTGATATATATCTGTTCTGATCCGTGTTTACCCCATCTATTAATTTCATATTTTATGTTTATTATTTACTCGATCGATCAAGGCAATAACACCGTGATCGATCATCCACTAGACAACAATAACCAACACAATGTAATATTATACATACATACATGCATATATACATGCATGCATACATACATACATACATACATACATACATACATACATACATACATACATACATACATACATACATACATACATACATACATACATACTGAGAGAGAGAGAGAGAGAGAGAGAGAGAGAGAGAGAGAGAGAGAGAGAGAGAGAGAGAGAGAGAGAGAGATTCTCCACACCCGAACGGAAAACTGATTGCATTTCTATTCTAGATTTATAATCGCTTTAAAGTATGGTTTTATCATGTAATTATCCACCGAAATTAATGTGATGTCACAAGGTCGTTTTGTTTACAATGGCTTACAGCTATAACATGCTATGTACTACGCAGTTGCAACTAGTAATAAAAGTTTCTCCATGCCTGTCGTAATGAGATGTTGAATTACTAGCCAGACGATCACGATGCTGAAGCTATATGCCTTTACTGTTAGGGCCAGACAAGCGTCATTTATCTGTCTTCAGTTTGCTTTTACTCGAGTCGAAAATCGTCACAAACTTTGAGAAATCGTATGGAATAAATAAAGCGCAGTTGAATTAAAAGAAAAGAGTTCGAGAATATTTTAAATTCTTTATTTGTTTAAAATACTTCTCTCCAGCAACATTCTTGACTATAATTTGGGGGTGGGGAGCAGTAAACATATAGTAGTATAGTAGTATACTAGTCTCGTTTAACCATAATCTGTGTGTGTATGTGTGATAAATTTCAGTCATATCGCTACGATGTCTCCAGTGTGGCAGTTTATATCACCACAGTTCATATTGTCAAGCGAGGCAGATGCTACATGTAGTACCATTTTTATAAGTGTTTTATATGACTCAGCCGGGGTTCGAACCAGCGACCTCCCGCATCCGAGGCAAACGCTCCAACCACTAGACCACCGGAGCAGCAAGTATTTAAGTCGAAATTTCAGACTAAATTTAGAATCAGTTGCTCAGAGCGAATGCCTTAAGGGGTCAGTACCAAATGATTAAGTGAATTTTCTTGTGTGTTAGTAGCATTAGGTTTACTTATTATATTGTATTCATACAGCACAGGTTCGACCACACACTCTTGTATATAGTAAACACCATCTCGTATATTGATGAGGGGTGGGTGTCAAGAGAATAAAAAGCACTAGACCAGCAACATATGGGGGTATTTTGGAAATCGAGATTTAAAATGTACAGATCAAAAATATTTTTGTTTTCAGTATCGCCATACGACAACAAAATATAATGACAGAACATTAATATTGACCAGAACAGTCAGACCTGACCACAGTAACAAAATGTAGCTCGGTTTTCACTGGTAAATTAATGTTGCGTAGCGTTCATAGGTTGTGTGATATTGGCCTATAGCACAAATTTCGGAATGAAACGTTTATGCTTCGAAACCTACAGAAGCTGATAATTATTTATTTATTTTTTTGGGCATAAAATTGTCTTGTGAGAAAATCGAAAAAAAAATCGCCAGACAACCCTTATGACTGTATGACACATAAGATAACACAAGGTTGATAATATCTTGAAGACCAAACGAATGAATGGCAAAATAATTATTTGTTAAATGGAAAGAATATGATAATCGTTTAACAGTTGGAAACGGTGGAAATCACTGTCATTTGAAGTAAAAGGTGTGTTAAAAGAACAACCGACACGATGCCTGAACTGGAGTTTGATGAAGCTTAGTACAGTAATAGTGTCAAGAAGTATGGAAATTTTAATTTTTAGAATGTATCGTACGCAGAAAAGCGATGCAGTCGAATATTCAGCAGTTTAAATATGCATGGTGTGTTAATTTACTCTGATCAAGGTACGCAGAGGAAAAAAAGAAAAACCTTAAAAAAAGATACAATATCAAAGACTACAACTTCTTGTTTGAGATCTTGCATAAATTGGGATTAATGAAAATTAGATAACTCCTGACCTGTTTACATGGACACTTAAACTTCGCTTAAATTGGATTCAAAGAAAATACAGCAATCTGCCAACTACACCACATAGTATGAAATTCTATGAACAAAGTTTTATTGCGTTTACAATTTTTCCATATCAACAAAACTTTCTTGCATAAAGATTTACCACTTGATTAATCCAAATATGTTGAATTGAAAAGGATTTTTATACGACGTGGATAATTTTGTGAAGTCCAGTACACCGTTCACACTGAGAAAATATATACAGTAGAATGTTTATTGAAACTACAGAAATAAAGAGTATATTCGATAAAATGTTACAAATATAACAAACAAAATTCGATAGAGGAAATGAAACATAAAGAAGCACAAAATGCAGTGCAGGAAATGAAAAGATTGGAGATCTAAATCGATACAAATTTATATGAGAATGTGGAAAGATAGTAAATATAGGATGAATATAGTTGCACAAGAAAAGTGAATTTCACAAAAATAATTTCAATTGAAATGATTGACTTTGTGTTTACAAAAAAAGCAGTTTAGGGTCTTACTCGTTGCCCTATGATTCAATGTAATAGAGTACATTTAGTCAACTCATATTAATTATGTTAATAGAAAAGTAAAAGCAATACGTTTACTGGATACAACTTAATCTCAAATATTTCAGTGTTTTTGAAAATTTAAATTCACTTTGTTTCGGAATTTTCTAAGTCACGAGTAAATGGAAAACTTAATTTGAAATCCTGCCCAGAGAGAGTCAGAGTCTTTGAAAAAAGATAAATTACTCCACCTCGCCAGGCAATATGATCTCTTTGAGGTGAAGGAGTCTTTAATAAAGTGCATGTCATTTAATTACTTGTGTGTTAGTTTTAAATTTATTTTTTTTTTATTTTTATTTCATTGCAAGTTATTAGTCATAACTTTATTTACTGAATTTGACTTTTTCAGAAAATCCAGTTCAGTTCTAGTAAATAAGTGTTGCTACATTGTATTTGGAGCCGACCTAGTTCTTGAATTTGGTTCAGAATTCGTAAACACAGAGTGAAAATCATTGGTCGTAATCACGGTCATTCTTGGGTTGCGTCAGCTCTGTTGTAAACAATCATATATATATATATATATATATATATATATATATATATATATATATATATATATATATATATATATATATATATATATATATATATAATATTCGCAAACCTGAAGTCCTTTTTCATATTTTACCTTGTTTTCTTGGGAAATAAATAATTTTCTTAAATCCTACAAAGCTTGTTCGCTTCACTCTTTTTTTGTTACTTTTGAACGAAAGCAAAAAAAAAATATTTGAGTCCAATATTTGGTAGGAAAAAATATTCGGTATCAGGCTCTAAAATCAAAGGATTAGAATTGAAATTAAAACACAAGACTGAAATATAGTTAAAAATGAATGAGCTTCAGAAATAAGAAAGAGAAATCCGGCTTTACAAAAAGAATTCTAATTGTGTGTGTGTGTGTGTGTGTGTGTGTGTGAGAGAGAGAGAGAGAGAGAGAGAGAGAGAGAGAGAGAGAGAGAGAGAGAGAGAGAGAGAGAGAGAGAGAGAGAGAGAGAGAGAGACTAATACAAATGCAGAGATAAAAAGAGGTAAATACAGATGCAAAGAGAAAAGAATAACGGGAATTTCAATTCAGATTGAACGAATTAGAGCGGGCAAGTGAAGAACTCTCCCCTACACACAAGTTCAGTTTTGATCTTACCAGAAATGTTAGTACTCCATTGTCAATAAATATTTTACTTATTTTGAATAAAATGCCGAAAATATGTATGGCCAAAAGAGCATTATACTCTATTGTTGCAAAGTCTATTTGTTGGCAAAACTCATGAAATCTATGTTTCAATATCAGTACATACAACAAAATACTAATTATGATGCGGGCAAGGAATGCAGCTTGAAGGCTTGTGAGCTTGTACCCGAGGCCTGTCGACAAAGGTTTAGGAACTATAAATAAAGAAACTGTATATACACATTATTAGATAGGTGGTGCTCAGTTAAGAAGGTTGGGCAAGATTATGATAACCTTAGACAACTTATAGCAACTAAGAGTTCAAAAATTGCGTTGACAATGACGTTAAGACCTATCTTGTTAAGCAAAGAGGTCGAAACTTTAAAAAATGTTGCTCATACGCGGGTACCTGTTTGTTATTTTGTTAAAAACGGGGTAAAGATTTGGAAATGGAGGCCACCTCAGATACTCGCTGGTGACGAGTGGTCAGAAAGCTATCAGGTTGTTGTTCCTAAGTCGTATAGACAAGGAATTCTTAGTCTGACCCATGAATCTCCTTCAGCTTGTTATATAGAGTTCAATGATGCATATCAGAAGATCTTGAAGCATTTCTATTGGTTGAAAATTGAAAGTGATGTTTTTAAATACTATAGATCTTGTTACGCTTGTCAAATTGTATAGGAAAACTCAATCAGAAGATACCAAAGGTTCATCTGCAACATTTATATGCTTTTGACAAACCATTTAGCAGATTCACGGTAGGTTGTGTCAACCCTTTACATCATATCAAGTCAGACAATCAATACTTGTTGGCCATAATGTTTGTCTACAAGATTCCCAAATTCCTTTGAGGAACAATATTAAAACTAAAACCATAGGAAAAGCTTTGTTAATTTATTTTGCACAACTTGGCATTCCCAAATTTATCTAATCTGATCAGAAGTCAAATTTTACGTCTATAATTTTCCAGCAAGTTTTGCATGAATTATGTATCAGGCCGTTTAAGTATTCTGACTATCACCCTGAAAACCAGTAGGCTTTAAAAAGATTTCATCAAACTTTGAAAAAATACGATTATGTCATGTTCGATGATGTTCATTTACTGTTGTTTGCTGTTAGGAAATCAGCTGAAGAATCGTTAGGATTTAATTTAATTTTTTAAACCTATTTTTTGGAAAACTGCATGTGGACTACAGAAGTTATCTTTTTTTTAAAAAAAAAAATTCTTTCAAGTGAAGATTCTGAAATTAATATTCTTGCCTTCCCGATTTGGATTATAAAGTGTCATGGGTAAGTGAAGTTGTGAGAACTAATCTTCACTCTACTCATTCAATGACAGAAATACAACTGAAATGAGTTTTCAGCCTGGTGATCGAGTTCTGGCTCTCCTTGTCCATACCTCTTTGGACTAATTATAAAGATCCTTATACACTTGAAAAGGAAGCAAGTGACTTAAATTATCAGTAACACTACTGGGAGGCGAAAACAAAACACAACAACTTTACCATATAAATATGTTAAAGGATTATGTTGATAGAGATATCCAGGTTAATCATGCAATGCTTTTAGTTGTACCTGTCCCATACAGTGAGGATGTAAACGATAGAATGCAATCTGACTGTAGTGACTTTGTTGTAACCAATCTTTAGAATTAAGAAATATTGAAAATAATCCGGACCAGAAAATTTCATATATACAGCCAAATGAAACTTGTCAACTAAAACAGCTGTTATTTGAATATGAAAACTTGTTTCCAGATTTTCCAACACGAACAAATACAATTTATCATGACGTTGAAAATATAGATTCCACACCTAAGAAACAGCACCCGTACAGGATGAATCATCTCAAACTGAAATGTTTTAAAAAAGAAATTCAGTATTTGCTGGAAAATTATTTTTATAGAACCAAGTAATGATGACAGGAACTTAGTGTATTTTTATGCCGAAACTAAATAATACTTTCCGTATGTGCAACAAATATAGAAAAGTGAGCATTGTGACCACAGCAAATTCATTTACATTGCTAATCGATGATTAAATTTATAAAAAATGGAAGTGCAAAATATGTCACCAAATTTGACCTTTTGAAAGGATTTTTGCAAACTCCACTGACACAAAGATCAAACGATATTTCAGGATTCGTAACTCCAAATGGACTTTAGCAAAATAAAGTAATGCCATTTGGGGTGAAAAGTTCGCCCTGTACTTTCCAACGTTTAGTTAA